AATTATCTATGCAAAACTCGTACATCGAAAGATGGAGCGATCTTCTTCTCTTGCTTGTGTGTGCGGTGTCTGGAAGAGCTGATGTGTGGGTAGGCAGCGGGATTAGCCAACGCTCTTCTATGTTCGTCCAGGCGGATCTTCAAGGGTCTTGCGGTCTCTCCCACGTACTTCTCCGCACAACTTCCGCATTGAATGAAGTAGACGGTGCCTTGAAACTCGCAGATCGTTTCAGATGTACAGTGGCGACAAGACTGCTCGCGGCTCCGTTTTTCGTAGATTCGAGAAGATGTCAGGAGATCCTTCAGTGTAGGAGGAAGGAGGAGGACGGGAAACAAGTCGAATAGGAACTTGGGAGTTCTTCACGACGTGATTCACCTCACGTGCCGTTGTCATTAACAAAAAGCAGAATCAGGCTCCCACCGTCAGCCGTTCTGTATAGGACCCAGGGCCTCGTGTTGCCTTCAAAGTGTCCATTACTATTAAGAATACTTTCTACTTTAGCATCAAAAACTGAATCCCTTCGTGTTCCAAGCTTCCTCTTCTTTTCAGAAGATTCCGCCAGAAGAAAAAGTACTCGACCAACAAGCGACTTTAATGTCTTTGATGCCATTTATAGGGACGTTCATAAGAATACCGCCATGTTCACGCGAAATCGACTCTAGGATTTATCGGAACGCGATGAATGGGCCTTATCGCAGTAACCTGAGCCCAGCTGAACGCAGAGGGGTGAAGAAGCTACTGCAAGCGAAGAATGTATTGAGGTATACTGTCAGACAAGTGTAGCTCCTTCGTAGTGATGCCCAAAAGGATGGATAAGGCTCTCACCGCCGAAGTGTCTCAGATGACACCCTTTACGAGGAAAGCACTTTGTTCGCGTTTGGATTTGTGCGCAAGAGAGTGAAATGCGTCATGTCGGTAGTGAAGAGACGGGCAAGCCATGAAATTGCAAAACGCTGTACGGTACGGTTCCATCAGTGCCGACGCTCAGCAACTTGGTGAAGGCGCACGAAATTCCGGCAACAACAAATAGACTGTCCCTCCCAGTGAATGAAATTAAGACGAGACCGATTATCGCATTGGTGGACCAGCAGACGGATTGAGCTGGCTCTTAGTCCGTTTGTTCTCGCCACTTTTGCGATATGTTGGAGCGCACATTGAAGCGCATTTAATGTTGAAGAATTCATTTTGTCGTTTCACCAATGTCCAGTACCGAAGAAAGCCTTCTACGCGAGCTTCGATGTAGTATCCTTATACACGAACGTGAATAGCGCGGAAGCAGTGCAAGTGTGTTATCTCTCATGGAGAATAATGAAGACCATATCACAATGATGAGAATTTCCGCCAGTGGGAGTCGGTATTTGTGTCCAATTGTAATTACTTCGCACCTTCCTCGCCCAACCCCTCACTCGCCTGTCGGGTGACCTCCCTTAATTGGTTGGCCAGTGACCTCTGGGGCAGTCTCAGTGTACTGATTTGATTATATGAATTGAACTCTTTATTATCAATATTGTTAATAATAATAGTATTATTATTATACATTTTAAAATAATATGCAGTAAGGACACGACAATGTAAGAATTCAAAATCTTCAGAGAGGGGAGGTGCAAGGGGTAGAAGGGGTGCAGATACATGAAATAGAGGTGGTACGGTGTGTTGTGGTGGGCTAGCTAAAATAGGGATTCGGAAAAATAAGAAGGAGCAACAGGAGCAGGTATTCCCGAGTTGAAGCCGTAGAAGGCGCTGCTGTCGAATTCGGAATAGTACAAGTCAGACATTGTGCTCATGCTATGACAAACACAGTACAAAGGTGATTTATGATGCTTTCATCCACATGTTTAAATACCTTCGAATGACCTACAGGCGGTGTCCAAACAAAGCGATACAGGGTGTTAAAAAAAAGTGTGAAAGGTCCCCTGTTAAATAGTTTGCCTACAGGCGCCTTGTAAGAATGAATGCTGAATCCTTATACTATGCGATAAATTCTTTTCTCCTTTCTTATGATATTTCCTATGTTTATTTTAGCCTCCACACCTTTTGTTTTTTTTTGGTTTATGCGTTTCATACTTTTTGTTTTGCTTTATTTTATTTCTCATGCTTTAAATGTAACATAGTTCCTACTCACACAATCGCTCTTGTTAGACGTGAGGATAGTTGTCTAGCAGAGAGGTTCAGCCATCCAATTGAGGGAGGTCACCCGCAGGCGAGTGAGTGGTTGGGCGAGGAAGGTGCGAAGGATGGGCGAGGAAGGTGCGAAGTAATTACAATTGGACACAAATTGGCTTACCCTCCGCCAGTGAAGTTAAGGATCTCATCAAAGCGGCACTGGAATGCAACATTTTTTGCCTCGACAATAAGTTTTACAAGCAAAAACGAGGCTTTGGCGTTGGTAACCCGTATAGCACCTGTGTTAGTAGACATCTCTTGGACCACATCGAGAAGTCACCATTAACTAGTGGAACCCTTTTTTACAAACGTTTTATCGACGACGTATTCATTATTGGAACAAGAGAAGAAGACCTTGTGGAAACATTGAAGAGACTAAATTCTCACGATGCCAACATAGCCTTCACAAGGGAAGATCTAAGGAGGGATGGATTTCCACCATTTCTCAGTGCTAAGGTACGGATTAGTGAAGGATGCAAGGAACACCTGTGGTATCGAAAAAGTGCTTCGTCGAACAACTTGTTGCATTCCAGAAGCGCTCATCCTGTTTATATGAAGGCAAGCGTTGTGCGGAATTTTCTGAAAACGAAGAGGAAGCTTGGGTCACGAAGGGATTCAGTTGCTGATGCTGAAGTAGAAAGTATTCTCAATAGTAATGGATACTTTGAAGGCAACGCGAGGACCTGGGTCCCATACAGAACGGCTGACGGTGTGAGCCTCATTCTGCCTTTTGTTAATGACAACGGCACGTGAGGTGAATCACGTCGTGAAGAACTCCCAAGTTCCTATTCGACTTGTTTATTCTACCCGCTGCTTAGCCACACAGCAGGTTTTCCAGGCACCGCACACACGCAAGCATGATAATAAGAACGCTTCATCTTTCGATGTGCGAGTTTTGCATAGATAATTGGTTCTGCCTTTGGAAAAGAAAATCATGGAAGCACGGGAAATATTAGGTTGGCAAATAAGTCCTGCGACAAAAAATTTAAAGCGTTGAAAATTTGTATCAACAGTAAGAGCACGGCAGCAAGGGTGATAAACTAGTAGGACGTTCTCCGGGGAATCAAAGCATGAGTGAATAAGGGCACGCTTGTGGGATTTCGCAGCATTACGGTCAATAAATGTACAACACCCGATTCGTGCCATCACCTTCTACTATGTACAACAAGGAAAAAACGCGAGTTTAGTGGCTCGAAATATCGGCAATCTATTCGATGCTAGCACTGCTCACCGATCGACGGTCAGCAATCGGCTGGATCGCTTCACTGCAGGAGATACCAGCCTTCGGGGTAACGCAAGCATCGTCCCCTAATTTAATGGATGTTGAAGGAATTCATCCGCTATGAGTTGCCAAACGCAGACTGGTTGGACACAGCTATCGCTTGCCCCTATGATCCCCTTAATTTGGCCAACTGGTTTAGAGAAGGACGATCAAACCGTAAATCAGATCCCTACAGATGGACAACTCACGTCGAAAATTCGCTTTAGACCCGCGTCAGAAGTTCACCGATCCCGATTTGTTCCAGACTACTCACCAGTCCTACTCCCGGAGTGTTCCCCCTTCTACCTACCATGTGCTCTCCCTTTTTGAGCATCCCGTTGTGGAAAAGAAATTCGTAACTTAAGGTGATCCAAAAATGGCAGTCAATTACTTTTTCGAGCCACAGCTCCCTCACTTCTGAAGAGACGGCATCAGTGATTGGCTTAAAGGATAAAAGAAAGTTGTTGACTTCTTCGGTAGTTATTTTTCCGAAAATTGATCGATATGAAAAAATTTAGAAAAGATTTAAAAAAGGTCTCCATTTTGTCGCAGGACTTATTTGCCAACCTAATACACCGTATCCAACCATAAATCAACGCAAAGGAGATGCGTGACCTCCTGAGACTGATTGAATGATAACACTCCGCCGCCTCAGTAGAAGAGCGGTGTCCCATTTCTCTTTCAAGTTCCCCGCCAATAGATCCACTCCCCTCTTTCCCAACATTTCCGGTTGGTTTGATAGGATCCGATGTGTTCTATGTATTATAGTAACTGATTGTTGACTGATTGTTTGCAACTATGTATTGTAAAGTTAAGGTCTGAAGAAGGCACTATATGTCGAAAGCTGACAATGAAGTGGAGTATCAAGAGCTTCGAAAACACACATGAAAATGTGCAGAGACTATTCAAATTAATACCCTCAAAAAAGGTTTCACTAGCCTCAAAAGAGAGCTGGACACTGAACATGAAAACTCTTAATCGAGTCATAAAACAGGAGGAGATTGAAAGACAGATGCCAAAAGTATGGGGATACGCAGCTGCCGAAACAAGAGGCACACCGCAATCCCAAGAAAAAAATTCGAAGTCCATTTTGCTACTATTGTGTTAGTAGGGAGCAGTAGTCAACAGATTGCGCAAAAATCGCTTCCCTAAATGGACGCTCAGAGCACCTGAAGGAACGACCTTCGCATATGTTGTGGATCAAAAACGTATAAATTTACCGAATGCAGGATGCAGGATGCATGCAGTATGGAAGAAAACATTACACTTCGACATTTTTCAAATCAAATGCCCCTACCTCCTCCGCACCAGTGTCGAATACAGACCGAGAACAGGAATCGAAAGCGAAACCAGCGCAAGCTCCGCAAAATTTCGCGCCCTGTGAAGAAAGCGACACACAGATCGATAACCAACAAACTTCTGACCTCACTTTTATGAGGGTTGAAGACACATCAAGGTAAAGAACTTATAGCGAGATATTCCTTCTAACTGGAACCCTGCGCACCTCCCATCCAGGAACACAAACTGGTCACCCACCAGGTCCTGTTGGATACGGTTGCTGATCGTAGTTATATTGATGCCAAGTTAGCCGATGAGCTCCAATTGGCAAGTCATGGTGTGGTTACATAAAGCTCAGAACTTTCGGTGAAAAACCGCAAAGGATGTTCAGTGCATCGATACTTGCTAAAAGATATGGGACTTTGAGGGAGAACACCATCCATGAACTCCAGCTTTTCACGCATACATAGTAAACTGACAAGAGAAGATTTGTTATTCATACAAAAGAAGCATATGAAGCTGAGCAATCCAGACTGTATAATTCATCATCCCCTCCCCTCAGAACTCACTCGGATGCGACCAGCTTTGGAACTTTTTAATGATTGGAGCGCCCCACTTCACAATGCCATCAGGGCTCAATTTTGTACCCACGAAACTGGGCTACATGATCTCTGGTGTGCGCCTTAACAGTAAGAGTAATGAGCAACATTTACATTCAACTATGCATTCAATTGAATCAAGGAGTGGAAGCGACCCTCCGGAAAATCATTGGAATGTTCAGACCCCAGTAAAAGAACAGGAGTATATTGGCCTGGAAAAGGAGCTTGCATTAATGAGCATGTACAAAAAAACTCCAAGAGCATCATCGAAAAACGTGATATAGGCTATGTAGTTCGGCTTTCATTTGAACAGCCACATGACCATCTACCAGAAAAGAGAGCTCTGGAATTACGTCGTCTGAGAAGCGTGCTACGTAAATATGAAGAAGATCCCAAAATTCTCAGGCAGTACCACGAAGTATTTCAAGATCAGTTGAGCAAAGGAATCTTGGACGAACTAGATGAAATGGAGGATACCATTGGGAAACCGAAACACTATCTCCCTCATCGGCCAGTTATCACTCCACAGAAAGATACTACCAAGTTCAGGGTTGTTTTTGATGGGTCGGCGCACTGCAAGAGCTGGTGCATCAAGGGCCTACCATACTTCCTAAACTACATGGCATGCTTCTACACTTCCGCACTAGAAAGTTTGTCCTATTATACGACCTTGAAAGAACCTTTTTCAAGCACATCTTCATGAAGAAGACAGAGACTTTACAAGATGCTTATGGGTCAAGAACGTAATGAAGTCGTATACGGGCCACGCGGTCGTCAATGGGTTAAGAAATATCCGAGTTCCGTGAGGAGTTACCAAGGAGAGTTACACAGGAACAGAAAAGACTGTATAAACTGGTCACATATTCCGATGCCGGCGCGACTGCCATGACAGCATGCACCCATCTATAATAACTACGAAGAAACCATCTTGCTTTCTTATAGCAAAATCATAGGTGTGAGACATGAAGCATCTAACCACAATACTTAAAATGGAATCAAACACAATAGCAATAGGTAGGGACACGCTTAAAATTCAACGTGTTCCTGAGCATCGAACCCCACCAAACACTTCGAAGATCGTATTCCTAACAGATTCTAAGATTGCGTTGAAATTGCTTTGGGTCAACCCGAATCGGGATAAAACAGGACCGTACGTTAAAAATCGGACAAGAAGTCAGACAGATTGCACAGTCTCTTTCTAGAGTAAGAGTTGAAGTAAAGTTCGGCTACAATGTCACCACGACAGTCTTGTAAAGTCTCTGTCTTCTTCATGAAGATGTGCTTGAAAAAGGTT